TTGGGGAAATATGCCCAGGTTATCAACAATCCTGAAAATGATGGATGCATAAATGCAGTCTTACTGGTTTGACAGCAATTTCATATATAATTGTTGAGCGCTACACACCAATTGAAAAAACTACCATTACTATAATGTTTCTGAATACTATCAAACAGCCATACCTGTCTGCAATCACCAAGAGATTATTACGTTGTAAACATTAAAATGGGAAACAAACAAACGAACAAAAAACAAAGGAAAAAGGACCAAAAATCAGATACAGGATAAAAGACACAGTCAATTCACCAAAAAAAATAAAAAAATAAAAAAATAAAAAAATAAAAAAATAAAAAGGGACCTCAGATATATAACAATTGCTCAAATTCACTCGAAATTAGAGAAATGCCAATTAAAACAGCACTGAGATACAATTTCTCATCTATTACACTCGCAGAAATTTTTAAATATGACAAAACATTCCATTAGTGAGGATGTAAGGAAAACAGGCACTTACATACATTGCTGACGGGAATACAAATTGGTACAACCATTCTGAAGGGAGTGTTGGTAATGTGTAACAAAATCGCGTATACACTTACCTTTGGTCCCAACAATTCCACTTCAAGGAATCTACCCTGGGAATATACCTCCAAATATACAAAGACAAATACACACTGCAGCATTCTTTGTAATTGTAAAATATTGGAAACTTGGATGTGCCATATTCAATTACCTTCCTATGGTAGGAATATGGCACATAGGAAAGTGACTGAACAAACCATGGTACATCCAAGTTATGCAACTGTGGGGAGAAATAAAGAATGAGGAAAATCTCTATAATATGAAATGATTTCCAGGACACAGTGTTAGCTAAAAAAGCAAAGTCTGAAAAAAGCAAAAAAATACCTATAGTATGTTATGTTCATGTAAGAATGAAGGGAGATATAAGAAAATACACGTTCCTACTGAAAAAGCAAAAGGAACCCAAAACACCAGAAGGATAAACCAGAAAATGAAGAGACAGGATACCTACCCCAGGCAGGTGAGAAAGGAAAAAGGCATGGGAACAGTGTAGCAAGGCTAAGGATAGCGTGATACTTCTCTGGATACACGATATATTTTGTAATAATTCTGACTCTAAGAACCATAGTAATTTCCACATGCTGACATGGTGTCGGAAAATAAAGAAAACTTCAAAAACAGATGGGGGTTTGTTGAAAGAACACAGGAGCCAACCTGAAGGAGCCCATAACGGCCAATGCTGGAACAAATATTGCAACAAAATAAATGATAGTACTAGATTAAAAACAAGGAGTAAAATATTAATGAGTCCATACTGATATGAACAATCTGATAAGTAAATGGAGGAAAAGGGACAACTCTTCTTCCCAATAGACTACAATAAGTAAATTAACACAAGAAGCAAAGTGGGAAACAATCGGTATCAGGCAAATATCACAAACACTGCAGACAAGATCCACTTGATAGATGCTAAAGTTAGAGAGCAATAGTTTGAGGAGAAACAGGATTTACACAGTCTCCATGTAGCTCCAACAAGATACTTAGCAACTTAAAAGGGAAAGATAGTAACTTCATAGTGTAAAAACAGCACACTCAACCAAGTGATCAAGTAATCATAAGTAGTAAGACATATATCATAAACTCCTCAATACAATGCACTAGGAAAGACACAACAACACTTTTGTGGTATTCTTGTCAAAAATGCATAGGCTCATTCCAGTCATGAGAAAATATCAGACAAACCCAAACTGCGAGATATTCTAAAAATAACTGATCAGTACTCTTCAAAAGTGTCACAGTCATAAAAGAAAAGCAAAATATCAGAAACTTTAAAAGAGACTACGGAGAAATGGCTAAATTCAATGTGGGCTCCTATATAGGACCCTGGGACTGAAAACGGACAGTAGTTGAAAATTTGGTTTCACTCTAATAAGAGCTATAGTTTAATTAATAATACTATACCAATGTTAATTTCCTACTTGTAATAATTATATTACAGTTATGTAAGATGTTAGCATTAGGGGAAATGGGGTGAGGAATGTAAAGGAACTCTGTACTATATTTGCAGCTCTTACACAAGTCTAAAATTAGATTAAAAATTTTTTTTAAAAACAGTAAGAAATTCTGAACAAAGGTAGAGGAATTACCCTTTAAATAAAAGGAGAAAATCTCTTCCAGTGAGGCCAGAATAAAGGAAGAAGGAACCTGTAGAGACAGTGAAGAGTAACATAGAAAAATGGAAGGTTAAGGCAGTTCATTTTTGCTATCTTTTACTTTCTTGCGAAGTAGGAGTTATCATTTGACCCCTTGTATAAAACAGCACCAATGAGGAAAATATAGTAGGTCCTCCCTTTATCCATGTTTTAGCTTTCCACAGTTTGTTATCAACTGTCAACCATGGTGTGAAAATAAACCTCTCTTCTTTATAAATTACTCAGCCTCAGGTACTCCTTTATAGCAACTCAAACAGACTAAGAAAATATGTTATAATTGCTCTATTTTATTATTACTGTTGTTAATCTCTTATTGTGCCTAATTTACAAATTAAACTTTATCATAGGTATGTATGTATAGGAGAAAACTTAGTATATATAGAGTTTGGGACTATCCACAGTTTCAGGTATGTGGGCTTTGGAACACCTCCC